AGAATGAGCAGTAGGGTTTGTGAAACCAGGTCTGCTGAGTTGGACAAGTTTCTTCTCCCAGAGCAAGGAGAGGTGAGGAGGGCTGGCAGCTCATGAGATGGGGTCCACCCTACAGGTCCTGGGAGCCCGAGCCTCCTGCTGGGTTTTCAGTGGGAGCTTTGTCACTGACACCAGTGGAAGCAGGTTCAGGCCCCGGTGCAGGTGCATCTGAAGGAAAGGGGGATCCCAGGGCACCAGATGTAAGGAGTAATCAGCCCATTTGGAAGCGGGGAGTGCACAGTGAGCCTCCTGCCTCTGTGCTTTTCCATACATGTTTACTGTCTGAACGACTGCTTTCGTATTTTCCAGTCACATTGCAATGGTAACTCACTGGTCACTGACAAGTGTTAGACGTATTGCTAAAAGACCAGGCAGCTAAAAGACTAAAATGCACTGTGCTCACTGTAAAAATTGGCTTCTTACATTGTTTCTTTTTATATGGTTGAAGAGGTGGTTGCGCTTCAGATTTTTTCCTTTTTCTTTTCTTTTTTTAAAGAGGTCAAATGTATATGAAGTGCATGTTATCCTGAACTTTTTGTTTGTACATCTTGGTGTCTGATCATCTGCATGAAAGACAACAGTAGTGCCATGTCTGAGCTTGTTCTCTTGTGCTTGGTTGATATGAACTCTAGATTGTTGAGTTTTCCCCAAAATAACTTTGGTTAATATTTAGTTATTGGGAGACATCAAAACAAAACATCATGGTGGCCCTTTGTTTTCTTACTGTTTAAATACAAAGAACAAAGCCTTGTGGTTTAAAGTTAATTTGTTAGTGTAAATAAATTTCTTGCCAATGAGTATTATTGTTGTTAGACAACGAATGCAATAAAATGAGAAATCCTGAATCTTTATTAGAATTTGTATCGAGTCCTCGCTTTCCTGCCCATTGGTCATTCTGGAAAAAATAATAAATGGTGAGCACGACTGGACAGCTGTTGCTGCATGGGTCAGTGTGGAGGGGGGGAGGGACCTTGCCCTGCTTGGAGTTGCCTTCCTTCTGCTCAGTGCCGAAGATTATTTGAATCTCAGCTGTTGGACAAATTGGCATGATTCACAGGTCTGTGAGTGGATCTCATTTACAATCTGTATTTATGTAAAAGAAGTTAAAAATAGAGTAAGGAAAGAGAATGGCCCTTTTCCTTCGTATGCAAATGAAATGTAGTGTGCAGTGTTTTGCTGCAGGTTCATGTAAAAATAGGCTGCCTTCGCAGGGATGCTGGCCAACGATTGTTTAAAAGACCTGGATTAGTTTGGGTATATAAAAACATTTTACCATTTTACATTTAAGTGTAGGTTAGTTATAATGGGCGTGTCCTGGTTGGTTGTGCGAGTTATCTCAGATACCTGCAGTTTGGTTTCTGAAATGCCCAGAACCACTCCAGACTCTACATCTTGTAAAAGAGGATGGGTTATGCCCTCCTCTGGGAAGCAAGCCCACATTTTCCCTATGCACGTTACCTTGTAATTGGGAATCCAGGCTTGAGGTCCGTCTCCCACTGCTGTTTCTGATGAGGCTGCCCGTGTGTTTTACCGGGCGGCGATCCCGTGCCGAGTGGCAGAAGCCGTGCGCCAGCATTGCCATTGCTGCAGCAGGCGGCCCCTGCCTCTACGCACTGCAAGGCTGGGACAGCCTTAGGAGAGGTTGGCAACAGGCTTCCAGCCCTCCTTGCCTCAGGTTAAGATTTGAAATTTTACTGTTAGTAATAGCAGGTACTAAATCCTGCCTACGAACTCTGTCCTCTCAAAATGCCGTAGGACAAGATAAGACCCGTCACTTGCCCATGCTTCTGTCTGTGGGCAGACCGCTGGGAAAACCTTCAGTACAGGAATAGTTAGTGAAAAAAAAAGCCAGTGATGAGTGAACATGTTCTTTATTTTCTAAAAGGCCAAAACCAACAAAAAAGCAGATGTTTGACAAGATCAAACAACATGTAGATTCCCTGACCAGAAGATGTTCTAAGCTATGGGAAAATGTTAAATTAGTGTTTTGATGGGTCACTTCTAGCACTGCTGAGGGAAGTGCTGGCTGTTACACTCCTACAACCACAGAGTAAATCCAGAGTGGCTGGTCCGTGTTTCGACTGTGCTACTGCCACTGCTGCAAAACGCTCACTCCTTAGAAGACAGTGCTTAATTTGCTTGAGAACAAATAGTGGCACAAGTCTAAAATAAGTCTTTTTAAATGCTAGTGCAGGATGTTGATGGCTCATCACCAACAAGTTAATCACTGGACCTCTCCTTACTGTGAGAACTTCCTTCAGAGCAGTTTTTTCTGCTTGGACTCTGGGAAATACGTCTGTTCCTCAAGCCTGAAAATTGGGTCACAAGTTCCTGCAGGAAAGCATGCTGCATTCCAGGGAAGACAAAAAGGTCCTGCAGGGAAAGAAGTTACTAAGGAAGGAGTGGCAAACCCAGGGTTATTGTGAATTACGTTCTGGGGTGCTTGGTGCAGTTGGCTGATGCCAAAGGCAAGTCCAGGAAAGGGACGAGACAAGAGCTGCCCTCGTTCAGGGCTGGCTCTGCCCTGCGGAAGGGTGCTCTGCGTGCCGTGCTTAGCAAAAGACTTGAAACTGTGATCCAAACAGATGAGTCTCTGGCCACCAAAGCCTCCGTGGGCAGACAGTAAACCCTGGGCACTTCTCAAGTCCCCAGATTAACTATGGGCGTTCTGGAGAGGAGCTGTGAACACCGTTTGCGTGCACTCACACAGTGCGGTGCCCAAGAGACAAGGTCAGTTAGCTGCACGGTTAACCTTGACGCTCAAAATTTCCCCCTCTAGCCATCGACAGACCCCTGCAGCATGTGCTGTGTGTATAAGAAACATCACAAATACCAGCAACCGCTGTTGCTACATGGGGATGAAAGAGTTGCTTGGCACAGCAGCAGCAGGAAGCTCCTGGCACGGGAAGGGCTCAGCAGCCCAGCCGACACATTGCCACTGCCGGCTCGGCTCTCAACCCTCACACAGCTCATTGCAGCCAGGGGTGCCTTACACCACGCTGCCTGTGCCAGCAGCAGTGTGGGGGCTCGGGCTGGAGCAGAGGCTCTCTGGGGACAGGTGAGCAATGTGGCAACACCCACAGCCCTCCACAGCTGTGCGGAGAAAGACAGATGGCCCCGACCCTCCCGTACAGCAACGCAGCCCCGGCCACGAGCCCTGGCACCGACCCCTTGCTCTGGTTGGAGCTGTCCCCTTCCCTTGGAGAAGGAGCGGTAACTCCTTTGTACCAGTGGATGAAAGCCATTAGCCTTCTTGGTGTTAGACAGGCAAGGCACAGGAGCCCAGAGGTGTCAGCACACGTTTGCTGCTCAGGGCCACTGGTCACCTAAACCCCAGCCCATGGTGATGCCTCCTCTCAAGCCAGAACAGCAGAGCCCAAACACAGATAAAGGCTCGCACCTACTCTGGCTCCTGCCTCAGTGTCTGGGCTGCTACAGAGCGGGTTATTTGCTCTGTCTTGTGAGCAGAAGCACACCTGCGTTCTCAAAGTGCTGAACTTTCCACGTGCTGTCCAGATTAGAGGGGGCCATGGCTGGTGGTGAAGCAGATTGCAGCAAAGAACAGCAAAGCCAGAACAGCAATTAGGACGCAGGGGCTGGCGCTTTCTCCTCCTGAGCTCGCACTTCATGAGCTGCCCGCCTTTTTTCTCCATGAAGCAGTGGAAGAACAGCATGGAGGAAATGCTACCGCATCAGCTGAAGGATGCCGGTGAGATGGTGGCCCCAGGCAAGTGTGTGTGTTGACACCGTTCAGAGGGGCAGCCGCACTGCTGAGAAATGCCGGTGCAGCCAGGTGCGAGAGGCACAGCCGCAACCCCGGCAGAGGAGCAGCCACGGATAATGCGGAGCCTTTAGCTGGACGTCAGCACCTTTCACAAAGCTGGAGAGGTGATCAGAGGAGGAAAGTCGGAGGGCGGAAAGAGCTGCAGGAGCTGTTCCGTGTGTAAGGACATCTAATACTCATGAAAGAAGAGCTCACTCCTCCGGCAGGAAAGCGAGTGGTGGCTCAAACAGCAGCTTCCACCAGGCTGGCATCTTGCGCACACTGGAAAGCACAAAACCGATTTCCAGCTTCAAAGGACACTCAGTCAGTTTACTGCAAGTGCTTGCTGGCCAACACCATTCTAAGAATGCCAGCGGATGGAAACCTGGACAGGTCTTTCAGCAGCACACAACATTACCCGTAACTGCCGCTGGCTAAACGTGAAGTGGAGCGGGTGCAGGCTGCGCTGGAGCACAGCGGGGATCGGCTCCAGACAGACTGGAAGTTAAACACGGAACTCACGAGACCCACTCTCGGAGGCAGGCACTGTGGCAAAGTGCCCCAAAACGCTCCCTTCGCTGTGGCAGACAACAGAAACCGCTGACGCACTTTTCATTGAAGGTGCTCAGAAGCTGTTGGCCGCTTTTTAAGGAAAAAACAGGCTTTTTTTTAAACTCCCTTTGGAAAACTCAGTAAGAAACCACTCCAGAGTGATGTCCTCCTCTTTTCTCAGTAGGATTAAGACAAATTTATGAAACTGAAGTAACGTTAGGAAATGGCTTAAAGGGGGAAGAGGGAAGAAATGAGACCGAAATAACATTTATTCTTCTTCCATTTTTTTCAGAAGCACTAGGGAAAGCCATCAGGAAGCTTCAGAAGAAGAACCCTGAGCACAGTCCCTGGGAATGCCCAGGGGCTGGTGACAAGAAAGCACGCCACACTGGTAGTTACCAATTCTCATTTACAAAATCAGTTTTCTGTGGGGGAAAAAAAAACCACAGGAGTCCGTTCGCAACAGGTAATTCAATGTCTGACAGTTTAGTTGTTTGTAATCTGAATTTGAACTTCAAAGTTACCCTTTGTTACTGACATGGGGTCCTCCCCATTACAGAAATAAACTAATGTCTCACCTTCAATTCCATTTCCTTTACTATTGAGTAAAACTCATGTTTTGAAGAGGAAGGCAAAAACATATTTCCATGACTCTAGTTAACCTTTATCGGAACAGTCTTGTTGTTAGCAAATCTGGCAGAAACTGCGCGAGTTCCCAAGGAATTAAATCCTCTCCGCTGGAGCAGATCTTACCCGCAAGACGAGCTATAGCTCACAGTAGAGCGCTCTGTGGAAGACAGTGCCGATGAGCAGTTTCCCCTCGTAGACGGACGCCACCGAGCTTCCCTGCAGCACGGAGCCGTTGTCGGCGTAGACACGCGTCACCACAGGCTCTTCCAAGAGGATATTCTGGATGCGCAGGACCTGCCGGAGGAGGGGGATACATCTGCTGAAACAGCCGCATGGGTGAAAATCCTCCATGGATGGAGGGAACATCAGTATGTCAATTTAAGCAAATTAGTTAGGTTGATCAGCTGCTGGTAACCGTAACCAAGTGATTCCTGTGATAGGGACACAAATTCTGCTTCAGCAAAGCATGATCCATGAAGACTGATTATTTTCTTTTAATGGTTGTGCAACAGAGACTCCACCTCCGTACGTGAGGCAGGCAGCCATCCCCAGCATTAGGCATGTGCACAGGTTTTTTCAGCCTAAGACTTAATATCTTCTTATTTTCATGCTTTTTCCAGACAGAGTAAACAACTGCCTAGAATCATAAACCTACTGCTATTGAACATGATAACTTGGAAAAATGTCTTATGAGGAGCTTCAGATAAGGCTGGAATCAGACACCAACCAAGCCACCTGCACTCGCGGCCACTGGCGCGCTGATGCCAGTACTTCATTGATTTCGGAAGGAAAGAAGAATTACAGTGTCACCTACTGATGAACCACACTTGCACAGATAAATCATTCCAGCACAAACGTTTCTGGTTGTGCTTTGCATTCAGTCAATTATTTTTTTGTTTGGCAAAGAGGTGCTGGCTCGGTAATTAACACAGTTCATCAAAATCTGATTGCGTGGCCACAGCTGCACAGAAAGCAGGCTGAGGAGTCCAGAATGACTGAGCTACTGGGTGGAAATTATTCAGTTGTCTCCTAAGGGTCTGAATAGGTGTTTGTTAGCCAGCATACGCTGTTCAGGATTTCCACTTGAGAGCAGAAGCTATAAGCTGGAATCCAGCTCGGTCTTTGCTTTCAGAAAGGCTGGCCAGGCACTTCTCTGTGTAACGCAGAGTTAAGTTACACCAGGGTGATTTGAACAGAGCAACTTTCTGGCACAGACACAGTCAAGAGACCAGTGACGTCTCCCAAAAGGCACCTCAGAGGCAGGCAGATTTTCCGGGTCGTTGTAGAACAGCTTCATCCCATTGGGATGACATCCTGTCCAGATGTCTCCGGTGTGAGGGTCAATAGACAAGTTATCAACCAGAGTGTCCAGCTGCAGCGTCTATGCAATACAGAGATAAAACAAGAAAAAGAGAGAAGTTAAAGCTATCAGAAGTCCTGGAAGCAAACTGTAACATAACCAATAGACTTATGCAAGACTCTCATCTGACATAACTTAGGCTGTTTTTTTAAGAAGTATTTTCTCCCCCCGTGCTGTTTTTCTTTTCCCCCAGTATGCTTCATCCCCTTCTCTGTAAGGTGAGAAACCTGCTCGCTGCTCCGAGCTCCCCCCATGGGCTCATTCACACCCACGCGCCTGCTGATTGCTTCAGCGCTTTGTGGCCTGACCCACGCTGACCCAGGCAGACTTCCCCCGCGGCTCTGTGGCACGCCCGAGCATCCCTCTCTGGTTGCTGCTGCAAGGGTGGAAGACCTGAAGCTGTGTAACAGGGCACACAGCACCTCTGCAAACCCACAGCAGGAGCCATCCAGACCAGAACCTCTTGCATGATCAGGCTGAAATCTCAAGCGTTCATGGGGACTAATCTGTCCAAAATTCACATATGCCTCTTTTTTTATGGAACAGCAGCACCTTACCTTCACATGGGTCAAATTCCAATTAGCGTGTTTTTCCATAACATGGACATTATGATCAAATACATCTGCAACATAGACGTACCTTCAAAAGAAAGCACCTCTTAGCAATGTGTATGAGTAAGCAGACACCAAAACCAGCCAGTTCCTCCTGTGCAAGCCCAGCTCTTCCCGTGAGGAATGCCAGCTCACAGTCCCCACGCAGCAATCGACATTGCAAGCAGGCCACAGGGCACTGAACTGAAGCCAACCTGCTGAGACGCTGAGGTAGCTTCACAGCGTGCCAGTGCTTCCATTACAACACTGAAGTGGGCCTTGGATCACGAGATCCACAAATATGCTTTTTTTTTAGATTTAAGATCACCTGTCTACACCACAGGACTGGTTAATTCAGTCATACAGACCTTAAGACTGTAGAGCGCTCCCCACGTGCAGAAATCCTGCCCCGTTATTCCTCGCAAGCAATGCACACAAACTTCTGCATTGGCTGGTTCAAATGCAGCAACCTTTGATCTTATTGCATATCAACTTCCACGTGAAGCAGTGGACATTGCCTCTAGGTAAAGACCGAGACACGCAACTTCTGTTCTCCAAACCCTCCATGTCACTGACATTGTACAGGTCGCACCTGGCCTTACAGGAGCCAGTTTAGACACAGGGGCACCGTTTGTACAAATTAGGATTTCGGGATTTTTTTGTGTCATCAAACAAAATCTAAGGCAAGGAGAAACTTACTTTCTGTCAGGTGAAACGTTAATTCCGTTGGCTGAATAAAACCCAGCTGCTACTTCTTTAACTTCGTTTGGACTGTAGTAAACAACGTTTGACCAAGTTAAACCCAAGAACGCCTCCAAGAACATCAAGGTGAAGTCGGAGAAGTAGTGGTCATTGGTAGCGTAGAAGCTATCTGGTCCCATAGCTACTATATCATTGACACTAAAAAAATATAAAGAGAGAGAGGAAAAAATAGGTAAAAGAATGAAATGAGAGGGAGAAAAATAAATAAAAGAATGAAATGAGAGGTATGAAGAAGCATTGTAGGACTGCTCAGTATCCAGCCAGGACATGGCCATCTCATAGGTATAAAGGGACTGCAATTACAGATGGTACTTCAGATAGACACTGAGTTATTTATATCCTTTTTGTTTCTATTTTCTTTTACATGAGCCAGGACTGTGCAGTGCTGAGAACTGAACAGGACTATAGGGCATCAGCTAGAGATCTGGCTACCTGTCCATAAGTCCATGGAAATTTTTCTCTCTTTTGATTACATTCAATTGGAAACCAGAGAACAGGTAGGAGTTGTGACAACCGTTATCTATCAGGCTCTGTTTTTTGCAGTAGGACAGATCAAGAAAATTTTGTATGCAACAACAACAAGAACAAAAGCTAAAAGTATGTTTATTTTTACAGTGTAGCAAATTCATAATAATAGAATGTCTGAAGATTCATATCTGAAATGGCCTGAGAGTGGGTTACACGACAGAAGGAGAAATGGATGCCAAGCTAATTCACTGGCATCAATCACAGAGGAGCTTAAGACTGATTTAGTGATCTAACTATTAAAAATCTCATTTACAGAAGAGACTGGAGAAACACAGTTTTTGATTACACAGATAAGTGATCAATAAGAGAAATGGGAAAGCTGGTTAAAGATAAAACATCTCATATTAATAATATTCTAAAACAAAAATTGTCCTACTTTGGCTTTTACCAAAGCAGCCTATTCTGGAGGAAGATGGTATTTGGCTCCAATACCTTGTCAGAAGGTCGTGTTGAATGGTTTTCAGGTGTACAAGAGAATTGTCATCTTCTACAAAGGTAAACAATTCTACTGTGCTTTTCTGATGAGGATGGTTCACAACAAAGAGGTACACGGTGTCGTCTTTAAAAAAAGAAAGGGAAACAGCTGAATTCTCTGCAACAATTTGCTTGGCTGAGCACCCACAGCTCTGAAGCAGCCTCTAGCTCAGAGCATGTGTTGGGTTTGGTGCATTTGTCTCACAGCTCTGCTGAGGCAGAAGGACAAGCACCAAAGTACTGCAGGATGCCACTGTAACTGGATCCAGACCTCTAGCTGCTCTTCTCCCGGTCTTGCTCTATGGGGAACTGCTGTGTAAACTACATTTTTGATATTTCTACCAAGGAAGAAAGAAATCATGGCTTCATCATTGTGCCCAAGCCACTGGGTTTTGCAATCTGATGTGCTATAGTGACTGGTTGTGTGAAATAGCCACAGTCAGCTGGAAGGAGGGCTTGTAGCCCAGCCAGTTTGGTTTCTTTGGTTTCTTTACCGCATCCCCTGAGAAAGCTGAAGGAGCACCCCTCTCCTGTACACTGTGTAAGGCTGCAGTCCTTCTGCCCAGTCCTTCTGGTGAGATCCTTCATTAGCCACTACTGGATTCTCCAACACCTTCTCTTAAAGGGTGACTGTATAGAGACGCAGGTCAAGCTGCAGCAGTGGTTCTCTTTCTCTTAATATTTGCAGACTTTGAATTGCTCTGCTAAAATCCCCCGTGAAGGGACAGGGAAAAAGAGAGGAAGGAGACCATGAGCATGAAGGGTATTTTACTGGTAGTCAGAGCCCGGTGTAGGAGAATATATCCTGGAGAGGAGAACGTGGCTTGGTTATGGATCACCAGACATTTTGATAATTTACAGAGATTTGATAATTTACTGTTTAGCCACAAAAGTCTCCATTCTGGTCACTACTAGTTGGTGAATCCTGTGTCTCCTCAAAACCCTTGACCTCAGAGTGAGACAGATGTAAATTGGTAAAATTGACTTTGCATGGTTTTCAGCTCCTCAAACTCTTCCCATCATTTCTTTCCTTCCAATATATAGGACATCCTTCTGTCTCAGACAGCTGAGATTATGTGTGAAGGTGTTTGCTTTACCAGCTGAGCCCAAAACCGATAAAAAGCCCCAAAACTTTTTTCTCTCCCAGCAAGCACAGGCTATTGGGGCTGCAGTGCAAAGCTGCAGAAGGATTTCTGTTTGGGCTTTTTAGGCTGAGATTCACCACCACCTCACATTAAAGATCTCTTTACCTCTGTCTACATAGGTGCTGATTCCATGAGGGTTAAATGATGCCAGATCAAACCCTCGGCTGATTCTCAGTTCCACTGCTCTGGGATGGTCTTCATTCAAATCCATCAAAAATATTTCACCTGGCTTGTCTGGTGCAAAGCTTTTTAATCCTGGATATTTTAAGCCCTGTAAAATCAAAATATAAGAAAATCATTCCCAGATAAAATGTGAAGGCAAGCATCACAGGGCTGAAAACGCTGGAGCCTTGCTTGGGTTTGCAAGCACACATCAGGATGTCACAGAATCATAGAACGGTTTGAGTTAGAAGGGACCTCAAAAATCATCTAGTTCCAAACCCCCTGGCTCAGGCAGGGACACCTTCGCCTAGATCAGGTTGCTCAAAGCTCCATCCAGCCTGGCCTTGAGCACTTCCAGGGATGGGGCAGTCACAACTCCTCTGGGCAACCTGTTCCAGTGCTTCACCTCTCTTATTGTAAAAAATTTCTTCCTTAGATCTAATCAAAATCTCCCCTCTTTCAGTTTAAAGCCATCACCCCTTGTTCTATCACTACACATCCTTGTAAAAAGTCCCTTTCCAGCTTTCTTGTAGACTCCTTTTAGGTACTGGAAGGCTGCAATAAGATCACCCCGGAGCCTTGTCTTCTCCAGGCTGGACAACCCCAACTCTCTCAGCGTGTCTTCATAGGAAAGGTGCTCCAGCCCTCAGATCATCTTTGTGGCCCTCCTCTGGACTCGCTCCAGCAGCTCCATGTCCTTCTTGTGTTGGGGACTCCGGAGCTGAATGCAATATTCCAGGTGGGGTCTCACAAGAGCAGACTAGAGGGGCAGAATCACCTCCCTCGACCTGCTAACCACACTTCTTTTCATGCATCCCTGGACACGGTTGGCTTTCTGGGCTGCAGGTGCACATTGCCGGCTCATGTGGTCATCAACCAGCACCCCCAAGTCCTTCTCCTCAGGGCTGCTCTCAATCCAGCCAGCCCATTATCTCTAATGGCTATCTCTATTTAACTAGGAAATGCAGGCTTTAAATGTCTCTGGGCATATCAGCGCAGATGTCTGCCTCCTGCCTGAGCCCAGTTGAAATTCAGAACCAAAACCCAGGAGGAGGGATAATGGGCCAGCCTTCTGCTTCAGCCTGCCGTGCCATGATGGAGGCAGAGGGACAGGCTCTGCTCCCCCGGGAAAGCACTTTGCAGCAGCGCAGAGGGAGTGAGCTGCGTGGGGGGCACGAGGAGCCACGGCCACCACACCACCTGCCACCCACCGCACCCACCACCCGGGTGGGTGCTCCCTGTGCGCCAAACTGCTCTGCGAACGGACAGGCTGAGGGGACAAACTGGAAGTACGGCACCACTAAACGCGTCCGGAGCCACGGGGAACAGCAGCAGTGTGACAGCTCACGATTTCTGACATGAATTTTGCGACATTATCATTCCCTGGGTGGCCCTGGAGCACGTTGATGAAAACATCAGTGTTTGTTTTGAAAACAACTGCTAGCCATCCTGATTGTGAAGAAAAGCTTGGAAACCTATGCCCTAAAGGCTAACAAATAATCAGGAACAACAGAATCAAAACACAAAATCTGTTGTTTTTTTTTTTTTAAAGGTAAGGAATTAACACACCTTCTTAATACGGGAGAGGTTCAACATTTCAACATTTCAAGGAAGCAGCATGAAAGAAATTCAAGGTTATGTGGGCAGATAAGCCAGCGGAATAGGATACGTGTGTCACTTGCTCAAGCAGAAGAAAACGCTGGCTGAGCCGGCACAAGTCTGGGCTGTTCCTACGGAGCCAGCCAGCCTTGCAGAAAAAAAGAGTCCATCCTGCAATTTTCACCTACGGCTTCTGCAGATCAGGAAGCAGGCAAGGCCCTGCATGGCGAGGGGGCGCAGGCACTTACGGAGCTGATAAAAGCCAGTCCATTGGGAAGTATGTCAATGTCTTCTGAACCAGTTTCTGCAAGACAGAGATAAACAGGGGTTTTCAGGCAACACTAAATATTTCCCATCGAAAAAAAAACTCCTTTTCAGTACAATTCCAGCTCTCATGAGTGTCCCTTTCTGCTATGACTACACAAGCGATGAAGTTCAGCGGAAAAGTTGGCATCGCTCAAAAACACCAGGTTAGGAAATAGTACTGGGGTTCGCCTCTTTCTGGGGGCTTAGGGGTGCCGCCGCGGTGGCCGGGCAGCCTCCCACCCAGCTCTGTGTGCCCCAGGGTGGCGTGGGATGAATCACCCGCTTTTGGTGATAGTGTCCTGTAAGAAGAAATTAGGGCAAGCGATGAGGTTTCCAGGGCAGGACTGTACCTGTTGCTCCCCCGCGCGATTGAATAAGGCAGCTCTGGGAATTGCGCACGCTAATTCTCCTGGTTGAGCGGGGACACTTCACTAAGACAGATTGCCAAATATTTAGTTAAAGCTCTCAAGTGACAGAGAACCTACTATATCTTTAACAGCTAAAGGCTTTAATAGTTAGATCACACTTCTAACTGCAGGTAATCATTTCCAATATTGCCAGTTCCTGTAGTTCCTGTAGTATTTTTGCCTGTTAATAAAATAAAATAAAATAAAATAAAATAAAATAAAATAAACAAAAGCCCTTTAGTAAGAACAATAAAGCAATTTTAGGCCTTGATCAAGCACTCTCCGTAGAGCTTTTAATCTGATGCTGAAGCACGTTTGCCATCCCACATTTTCACCTCTCCCCAGAGAAGCCTCCCCTCTCTTCAAATCACCAGCACCAACAGCATTCTCCACAAGCCACTTTCCAGGAGATGGCTGAATTAACCCCCCCCCGGAGCATGTGCTTAAAAGAGGAAATTGTTCTGCAGATTTTCTTTAACAGAGCCACCGAAGCAAAGGTTTTTCCACCCAGTTTGTCCCACCTCTGCGCACCCCCTCCTTCCTGGCCATAGACCACCCGTGTGACCCTACGTGGGTCACACTGTCCGTGGCACCTCAGCACCCCCTCCCCAGGAGGTGCCTGTAATTTGAGCTGGGTTTATTGTTTGCTTTTATGTAACTTCTGTTTATCCTGGCACTGATTTGGCCGGGCTGTAATTTACCCTGGGGCCACTGAACAGCCCTTGTGGGGGGGAACCAGACCCCCAGATTCACCCAGCTCAGTGCTGGGGAGATGCTGTGGCATGACTTCTCCAGGGAGGAAGGGGGCCAGGGCCATGACGAGCTCCTCCGCAGCCTCAGCCATCCCCGGCACCACCCTGTTACACTAATGAGCAGAGCATCCCTGCCTTCCGAAGAGCAAAAGGTCTGAAGATGCGTTTTGGGGGGAGCCAGCTCATTACCCCTCCTTCTGGGTTTTCATTCTGAATTTCCACTGGGCTCAGGCAGGAGGCAGACAAGGGCCCTGATGTGCCCATAGACATCTACAGCCTGCGTTTTCTGAACAAAATTTTTAATTTGGTTTTTTTTTTTCAGCTCAGCTCATGCTCTGATCTAAGCAACAAGCTCCTTTTCTTTGCCCCAGCTCTTGGTGTCTCCAAGTTTGGGTTCATTTATAAGATGGGGTTAGAGGCGATTCCCCGCTTCCCAGGATTGCTGCAAAGATAACAACACAAATAAATGCTGAGAGGCTCAATTACCGTGGTGATGTAAGCTGGACAGACAGCTTTTACTGGCAGAGCACACTGGTGAGTGAATAAACAGAGATACAATCATTTATTGCAGCTGAACTAGTGAGGCTGCCAAGCAGAAAGATGAGCAGGCTAATTGGGAGCAGATAATTAAAAAGTACAAGTTTCTGGTGGAAGGAGCATAACAAGAGCCCTGCACCCAACCACTGCCAAAGAAACTGCCCAGCAAAGCATATTTTGGGCACTTCTCAGCCAGGTCCTGGTATATGAGGAAGAGAGCGAGTGCTGTCAGAAGAGCAGCAAAATGCTGATTCAGCACGATCCTGCTGAGCTGGCACCAGGGAGGAGGGGATGGAGACACACAGCCGGACACAGGAAAGCTCCTGAGCTCTCCTGTGGGATCCCATTTTGGGAGGGCTCTGGGCTGTTGTCACAGGCATCATATAGGACAGGAGAGTTACGAACTGGTTTATTAGGTACGAGTTACCTCCAGTATATTGCTGAATTGTATCACAAAGCCCAGCTTGTCCATGGGATTATCTGAATAAACAGCATTTTTTAAAAAAATTAAAGATACCGAGAAAAATTACTGTCTACCCTAAAAACCTTTTTTTTGTTGTTCTTTATTTTCTTATAGTGTGATGTATTGCGCAGATGCATCCAATAAAAAAAAAAAAAACTCATCTGGATTTCCTGTCCAAAAGCAAGTGACTATTTCTCCTGTATCCCATGAATTGTTCCAAGATGCAAGCATTTCTAGCAAATTCTATAGTAGCTTCTTGAACTTCAGGAATTACTTCAAGACATATGGTTAGTTTATTGTAAGCCAGTAACATGAGCAGACACTCATATAATTCAAAAGACACTGTTTATTCTACAAATACAGCCTTTCCTACACATATCTGTGAAGGCAGCTGAGGATAAGCTGCAGGTTTCTATCGGTTTGTTCAATATTTGCATCTGTGCTTCCATTGCGCAATGTTTGAAAAGCAGAATAGGTGAAAGTCTTAAAAAAATGAGAGAGACACAGAAAGGATGAAATTGAGCAGAAAGAAAAGGGTTCACTAGGGAATTTTTTCATTTACTCTGCGTTTGCTTCCTTTACTATGTACGCACCGCTTTTAACATCATTACAATAGACTGTGCCATATGCCTGTTCTTCTCTATACAGAATGGATAGGTTAAGATTAATTTGTTCAGAGCTGATCCACCTTACTACCTATGTCCCACTGAAGAGGTCAGCAGAACTGTTTTAAAGATTAAAATAAAGACAGGTTGTTTATTCGACTTTATCACAAGATTTTAAAGGAAAAAGGCCCAGGAGGACCAAGATGTCCATGTAGAAAGATATCCTTACACAAAGTCACCCACAGGAGCAACCTTACAGATCTGAGTACAGCAAAATCCCCCATCTCAAGAGTGCTACCTAGGCAGCATCTAGATGTTAGGGGTCCTTGGTCTCCCTGAGTAATACAATACCCCCAGTCATATAAAATCAATTTTGAAAGACATTCGCTGGAACATGCCAACTTTCAAGTTTGCACAAATCCTTTGTTATTTGTCTTTCTGCCATATCAGACATGCTGAACTAATTTTTGGTGGTTTAATTCTTCTAAAGAGCAGCAAACAGCAGAGCAAAGCCAAGGTGAGGCGCAGAGCTCCGTGTGAAGGGACAGTGTTACAGGAGCACAGCGAGAAGCAGAAACGCAGGTCTGCAAATTGATCTGCCACCGCCTCTGAGTAGAGCCAGGTTCTCAGAATTCACCTAATCTCCATGTAAATGCCAGGCACCAAAAATGAGATTTCCTTTGGGAGTTAAACACAACCGTATTTGCCATTTCCAGCTTTCCTTCTTTCCTCAATTTTTTATATGAATCACCATCAAACAAGCTTTATTCAGAGTCTCATATGAGTAAATCACAGCTCAATTTAGAAGACCTGGGAAGTTTTTTCAAACGCAATTTGTTCTGCATATAACCTCAGGCAAAGGAACTCCACACACACTCATTTATGGCAGTAATTTGACTTTACAAATACGTTTGGTTCCTGACACAAGGAAGAAGCGAGATTCATGAAATCAACACAGTGACTCAGCAAGCTCAAAGGCAAGGCTCTTAAAGCTCATCCAATGACTTTTTACACATGCAAATTTCAACAGAATTCAAGACATTTCTGAAAATACTAAGGAGGAGAAAACCCCCAGCCATTAAGCCTACATTAAGTTCCAAAATATATCATTTGTGGGAAAGGGAGACACAAAAAAGCAACCCATTTTAAAGCTAATCATTTTATACTCTGGCTATCCTAAAGGGAGAGAAAAACCAAGACCAAAATATTGCTGTGTGCTAAACACATGACCCAAAGTACAAAGTCAACATTTCAGCCGCTCTGTTAAACCTCTTTGCAAACCAGACTAAGGCACCAAACAGGACCCCTTGCTCTTTGAAACCACTCAGCTGAATTGCACAACCGCGGTGAGCTCCTGCCTGCTCTTTGCACAGCAGGGTACCGGCCCACTCCTAAATCTCTGCAAAATGAGGCGCTAAGGCAGGAGATCCCGGCTGGCATTTAGCAGCTGCTCCTTTGCCACATGCCTGTGGTCTTCTCCCACAGCTTTCCACTCCTGCAGCATGTCCTGTTTTCAAGATGTCACCAGCTGACAGCCACCTGTAGGTACCTGCCTGAAGAGCCAGCACACCCTCCTCTAAGAGCCAAATAATTTCCTAAGTGTCTGAGCAAAGGAGACGTGTTTGCAAGGTACTCACTTTCAAGAAAAGGGACAGAAATATTAGATATCAAAGGCAAAAAGTACTATACCAAACTAGCTAGTTTTTCAGAATAATTTTCTTCCTGCAGCTTCTCCCTACCTCTAAGTCCAAGTAACAAAAGAAAGTCAAATTAGCACTTTGTTTTCAGGAGCATGCTTGGTAGCTGGCTTTAAGAAGCAGTTGCAAAATAAGGCTGGACAAAAGCAATGCATTCAGTTATTTTGAGCACGTACCGATCCCTTTAATGAGCTGGCAATTCGGGAGGGTTACTGGGGCTATTTCCCGCGAAGCATTCAGTCTGTTCCTGCAAGATGAAAGAGAAGAGTTAACTGCACACAGCCAGTTTTAAAACAGGTAACATTCTTAGCATAGCTTTATCTTATTTTTATTGTCTGACATATCGGAGCAACAAATCAGCCATGAAATACTGAATAAGCAAAACCCAGAACTGACAATAGCAATTGCTCCAAATCACTGCAATGGTTACACATGGCCAGGGATTGATTCTGCTACACTGAATATCTTCAGGAGCCTGACTAATGAGCTTCAGGAAGAAGCTCTCATGACCCACCACAGCTCAAATGGTAAAACAACATAGCCACATTTTCTTCAGGGTTCAGCCACCTAAATATCGTAGCACCCTGCAGTTAGGACCAGCGTTTCAGAGGAGGAGAGGGTGACCCTCTACCCCAAGCCACTGGCTATTTTTGGTGACCAGGCCACCAGCAGTAGCACTTTCTTAATTTCTTAGACCACATTCAAAAATAGTGATAGTGTTATTGCAAGGCACGACTACCCTTTTCCTAACAACAGGTAGGACTTGGTAGTATGATTTTCAGCAATTACCCTGTCCCTTCCTCTTCTCTCCTGGTACCCACCCAGAACATTATCCTTCAGCAGCGTTTATTTAATTCCTAAATATCCACAAAATTTCATCTCTGGCTCAGGCTTTAGTGGACAGGCAGGTACAGACAGGTACCTACACGTTAATTCCTGTTTCTCCATCTCCTCCATTCCAAGCTGTCTACAAGTCTCTGTGAAAGGCGTCTCACTACCAGAACCACTGTGTGTGACCATGGTGGTCCACAGTGCCATAAGCAAATATATTCTGTTTCTATGTAAAAATATCAAGCTAGTGTACTAGAATATTTCTTTATTTTCCTTTTTTTCCCAAAAGAGAGCTTTTAAACTTACATAGTTACTCCTTTGCATGCCTGTCATACACACATGTTGAGGCTGTACTTACTCCAACAACAGGAAGTTCTGAATGCAAAGATCCCATAGCAAAACCTAGCTGTGTTTATGTTATAGCTTTAGGCATAAACTAAACAGCACTATCAGTCCGTGGTATGAAAAATATGCAATACAGCTGAGCACTGTATGGTATGTCACTTAATTATGAATTCTAAATTGCTTTGATGCTGTATCATTGAAACAAGTTGTTAACATAACCCCCCAAAAAAAACAGAAGAAAAAAGAGCAAAAAGGGCAGAGGACAGGAAGGGAAAGGAGCCAAGTCAAACTCTCCCAATCCCTCCCCTCTTCCCAATCTCAGGGGTCCTGACAGCAAATTGCAGCAGCTCCCAGCCCACAAGCAGCACAGGAGGGATATCAGCTCCCCCTTCACCCCGGCATCGCAGCACAGCGGAACCCACCGGGCCCCCAAGGCTGGCTCGGGGTGATCATGCCCAAAGTTTGCACCACTGCCTGCTGAGGGCTTTTCCCTTCCCTATTTGTATCAGCTTTTCGTGGCCAGTGGGCAAGCTACCCTGAGCCCAAAGCACAGCAGGAACTCAGCTAAGGAGGAGTGATGGTATCCTGACAGTATTCCCAGGGAAACGCTTCATGGGCTGGAACGAGAGTAATTCAAAAGGACACTGGCCATAAGCCTGCAGCATATATAGAGGTTTTTCCAAAATATGTCAGTTAAGTAAACTGACACTAAAGCTCAGACAGCCTTAGCTACTGAGCCAGATGGCCTAATAACCCACTGGCCTTACTAAAAACACAGTCGACCTGCAAACTGTGGGGAATGCAACTTCAAAAAATGCAGGAATTTTGCTAATTGGTACAAACCCAGTTCGTAGCACCTTCCTCCCCCCCCCCACCCCCAACCCGTCCCGGTTCCTCTTTCCAGTTTCAATCCTCCTCACTCTGTCTCACTTTGTGTGACACAGACCACTGGCATTCCCTTTTCTTCAGCAGCAACCTGTTGCAGGTTTGAAGACCCCTCTCTCTTTAAGTTTTCCTCTTCTCTAGACTAACCAGTCTCAGATCTTTGGGGTTTTTCTTCCTGACAGGACAGAAAATCACCTCTTAATTTTTGCTCCCAATTCTTTTCAAATTGTCAGCATCTTTGTGTGAGCATTCTGCTGTTCCGAACACAGTATGCAAGCTGAGGACCATATCAGTATAGAGTGTTATGAAATGACAACGCTGTGTGCGTATATAAAGATACCTATATGAACAATAATATCATATGCATATTGTTCTGAGGAAAACAGTAACAGTATAATTCACATTCAAGTTTTACAAATTAGTTCAGACCTTTTTTTACATAAGAATTAGCAATTTAAAATGTCAGTAGCGGAATCAGTGTAATTTCAGGTGGTAACACACAAGAACTTCACCTGTTTTCTGCTGCACAAGCCCTACTCAGGTCCATTTGGTAGCTATCAAAAGTATAATAGATGCATAAACAAACCTGATTTAAGAAGAATTTAGTTTGTAAGAGATTTTTAATAATGCTCCAAGCCTTATCTTTCAAGCATTTCAGGGATCCTTGTGTCATACTATCTAGACAGAATATACCAAACTCAGAAGGAACAGCAAAAAGCCTTTGCTGGATTCCTGCCTTCTGGGTGGAGGATGGATAACAGCAAGAGTTAACACTACCAACAGTTTCTCTCTCTTCTGAAGGCTGTATAAAATTATTTTAGAGTATTCTGTTACCTGAAGTTGTGTTTCCAAACTCCGCAACTGTCTTAAGATTGCTGCTACACTGCAGCTTGCAGAAAACACAGCAAGCAGGAAAAACCCACAGAGAGCTACAGAGGCTGGGGGGATCCTGAGTCTGTCAGGAGATTCTACTTTACCAGATTCCCAGTATTGCATTTGTTCATTTGATTTGGGGGTCCCCTGCTCATTACGGTGCTTTGAAACGGCTCGCCCCACTAAAGCCTGGGAGAGTTTTCCAGCTCCTGCAACTGCAGGGCAAGAGGGTCCGGTTTCCGCTATAGTTATCACTGATGCTTGTGGTGGATTTAGTGCAAGATGCGCACACACCTATGTGGGATACTCGGCTCCAGGGAGTACCGCCCTCCCTCTGTAATTAGCTACAATTACTATCTATCCAAAGATCAATTAGCTGCATGTCATTGCTTTGAAGTCAGGCGTTCGGCATCCTTGTGGACACCAGCAAAATGATAGTGACATAGGGGCCTTGCAACACAGTAACTTCCCTTCACCTTTCTGGCCTGAAACAACCAGCTCTGTGTTTAGTAGCTTTCAGGACAGAAGCTGCTGTAACACCAGTGTCCACGTTCACACCTCACCACCCATCAGCACCATACGAGTGGGTATTTTAGATCACAGAGAGTGAGGTCCCAACTTAAGATCGTGAGAGTCCGTGCTCCTTCAGAGGAAACCTCATACACAGGGGCTACCACTACCCAGAGGTCAGCTGCGGTAGCAAATAACTCAAGTTTCTGGCAACCTGGCTGCCACTTATGTTTTGCCAGTCGACAGAAGATGAGGTAAATCCACAGGTGCCAGTTTGGGCATACTCCTGTTAACTGCAGCCTCTCCAAAAACAGAAGTACCAGCCCCCCTGCCCCAGGGCACCTTCTCCCTTTGGTTGACTCCAGCTTCTTGCCGGGGAGGATTTCACATCCCCCTTACTGCAAAGGGCATTTCCGCTGGACAAATGCTCCTGAAGTGAGTTTATCTCTGACCGAGGATGAGAAGAGAACTGCTGAGCAAGCCAGCGCCCAGTTTTTCTAGTTCCCTTGATGATAATGATGACGGCGATGATGGTGATGACGATGAACCCTTCCCCTCTGACCGAAACCGTGCTTGTGCAAGGGCTGCTCTGCACTGAAGTCAGGTCCCCGATAAGGAGCTGAAGTGCCTCCACGCTCGGGGCGAGGAGGGGGGCACCCGGCTCGGCCCCGCGGCGGGCAC